ATATGCATATTTTTTTTTTTTATATAATGGAAGTACAATGTAACAAATCTCTTGAGAGAGAAAGAGAGAGGGAGAGAATGTCAGAAAATTAACGGGTAATATTTTAAATGCATGCAGAATTAAATTGTTTTCCTTGATATTGTGATCTAAAAGTAATAAGATATATATCTAATGTAATTATCTAGTGGCGATGTCTTAAAAAATAAAGTACTATCATTTTAAATAATTTAATTTTTCATACGCATTTCGTTTCATTATTGTTCTGTTAATTAGTGGATCAGATTTGATTTGAAACAACTACAATTGAAATGACTCAATGGAATTTCTTGGATATTGCATCGACAGCGTGATTATTGGACACATTTTTATATATATTGAAAAATATTAACGCACGCTGTCTACAGTACATCTTTCAAAATGATGTGCGAGGTGCACTTGCCATTAATTTTGCTTTTTATCGTTCTAACTTTTCTCGTGCAAATTGGCGACAGTGACCATAGATGTGAAAAAAAGTTTACTTACAAGTCGCCAGTCTATGTTAGGAAAAACTATGCAAGAAATAAACGTAATGTTAAATGTTTTGTTATAACAAGCTGGGCATACCCGTCGTATAAATTAAGTCGTCTGCGTAGCACATCACTCTTCATGCGTCGTGGTATTTAAATGTCCTTCTCGATATAGGGAATAATCACGAGTTTCTGCAACACCCTCTTTCCCGTTGGGATATGAAATTCAACATTGTCTTATGCCTTTTTATTTTAAGCATTTTACATTTTCTTCTTTTGTCAAAAGGTCAATCAATTTCACACACAAGAAATTGTATGAAAATATTTCTCCGTTTCTTAAAAAAAAAAACAATATATACAAATTAAATGGCAGATATTTACTCCTGTCCAAACAGCAATGTATTTCTCGGACTTTATGAAAAAAAAAAAATAGAAAAAAATACATGTAAACATATTTTCTTTCTCCATCTCCTTATAGGAGTCTATAAGAAGTAGCTTTGCGTATAAATAGCAATTTATTGGAGGGGGATGGTCGACGAGTTTTTCGACCAAATTTAGACTATAAATGTAGCTATACATTTGCTGGAAAATGTATATTTCTAAATAATTTCGAACAATTGAAAATATCGCTGAAATTTCTCTCATTTATGTGCAACACCGACAGCTAAAATGTTCTGGTGATAATTTTTAATAATAAATTCATTCCGTGTTTACGAGTGTTTCAAATTGAAGATTGGCTGTTAGTGACTGTGCTTTAATTTTAGAAACTGCACTCAGAAAATAAAGATGCTATTTGTTTATTGCGTCGATAAATATTTCCTGATTGATAACATACGAATAAAACATCTCAAAAATATCGAATACTAGTATTCTCACTAAATTCTTTTTACTAGTATATCTCTTTTTTCATATTCATAAGCGATTTATAAATACACATGTACGTTTTATTGAAAGGATTTTACAAGAAATACATTAATGGAGTGTGTAAGATATTTACACAATCGCTACAAGTGTCCAGTATTTATTAATGATAAATAATGCTTAGACTACATGTATATATTACATTTTGTTTTGAATATGCTACAGCTGTGTATTATACATTCATCGCGCTTTTGACAAAACTCTATGTCAATGAAATGAGCACCCGTAGAGTTAACGTCCTTTTGTCAGAGATAATTGGTAAATATACATTTGGAGTATAAAGATATTATATTTGTCTTCTTCATTTGATGATAAAACATTCGGTGCTATCCTTTTATCTCTGATTTTCATATACATGATTTATAATGTATTTGCAACAAAAAATTGTCTTTTCTGTTGGTCTCACAATATATATATCTGATTTGTAAATATTACTTTTTTAAAATTAAAATTTTATACTTTTCTTCTTCGGATTAAAGATATGTCTTTAAACCCCCAAAAGTATTTTGGACTATTGTTGAAATACTTTAAAATGCCTCAATATTTTTTAAGGACGTTTGATGCTTTACACCATTCTTTACTTGTTTATGTATGATTTTAACTACCATGCAAAACGTGTTTAGAGGAAAAAAATATCCACAGCACTGTTGTGACAGTTGAAAAGGAATACTGAAAATAATTGCCCGTAATTTTTCTGATATTTCCATGATAAATAATTCAACAGCCCAAATAGAAAATACAGTATATTAATCTCAAGTATTAATAAATCTTCATGAAGGTATACAACATTGTTTTATTCTGTTTTTATGTAGTCCTTATTAAGTTGCTTAGCAGTCAAAACGGCAAACACGCGCACATCTTTACATAAACTATTTCTTCCTAGTTTCCTAATACAAGTATTACACTGTTTGCTTAACATTTCATCCGCGCTTTCCTGTCCATTGCTAAGAACGTTTAATTAAGGTTTTTGCATTTTGCGCATTTGCGCACTGCACACACAATTTTAAAGCACAATATACCGAAAAATTAGTTTTCCTATTTGAGTGATTCGTTGAAAACACAGCCGCCACGTGCCCTACATATAAGTACAGCCGCAAACTGCCTTTCCTTGCGAATTATTTACATCATATTTTTTACCCATATTACAAGTATAGAGTACAGCATTCCAGTCTGTTACTAATTGATACTGAGATGCGAAAATCCATTTCATTGATAACTCTCTGCATGGTGCAAGGGTGATAATAGGAAGACTTGTTTTTAGTTACATTGTCTGAAATACGGGTCTAGAAGAAGAAATAATATTTTATATGGATTTAAGTTATATAGAAGGTATATATGTAAGTACATTGTAAATAAATTTTATGCGAAATTTTCTACTAAATAACCCAATTCCAGTTTGAGTTTTAAATACTTATTAAAATCCCATCTGAGTTTTAAAAATATGTACTCATTCAATCACTACATTACATGTACATGACATATAATAAACCGTTTTCAATTAAGTATTTGCGCCATAGATATGCCGACACGATTTTAAATGAACTACAATGTTTAGAGATAAGCATAAGAACCGCCCTTATCTACTAACAGTGGATTTTCGTACAATGTACATGCATATCTTTACCTTACTAATTGACTCCTATTATTACAACTGCACGTAACTCAGTATTACACTAAAATAGCCGAAAGAGAGTCGGGGATTTCCAGTTGCATATTTTTAGAAAACTCAGTGGAGTTATCTAACTTGGATAGTGGCGCTGGATCGCGAACGGAAGTAGATTTAAGATGACAGAAAGCGCTTTGCGCTGCGCTTAGCGCTTAAAAAGTATACATGTAGCACAGAAAAAAGTATTGCGATATTGTTCTCTGAATAACATGCATAAAAAAGCTATAGCAATGTATCATGCACAAAGATAGTTTATTATTTTTTTTATTTTTTTATTTTTTTGCGTTAAACATATAAAAACAAAAGCAATAAATAATAATAAAAAAAAATAAATAATTGAAGTAAACTTATAATAAATAAAATATTATTAATAAAAATAATAAAACATCCACACATAAACACAAACCCAAACTAATTAAACAAACAAAGTTTTAAAAAAAAATATTTTTTTAAATTTCTTTTTATACGAGTTCTTAGACTATTTGGATTTTTCAGTTTTTCTCTCTCTCCCCCCCCCCCCCGGGGCCCGTGATGTACGTGTTTCTCATCTACTTTGTTTGACATGCTCATACGAATATATATTTGTATCTGAACAATGGTGTATATTTGAATTGTGTCTGAAATTTTAAGAATCAGGAAATGTTTGAAAATCTTCAATTTCACCTCGGTAAAGAACTTCATATTTTCTTGTTAGTGTGTTTTCTTTGTTTCGAATTCGATGCATTTAATCTAAATGCATGCGGGGTCAGAGCTTGACGAGAGTCGTACAAGTTATTCCCCCCGTAACATCTCGTTGTTTGAGACGAGGGTCTGATTTTTAGGGTAGATTTCGGAAGAAATGTAGGGATTTCGGGGAATATGGAACAATCTGACAAGCTTGAGGACACATTGAAGTTTTATGGAAAATTGGTCCCATTCCTTGGAAAAATCTCATTAAAGAATAGAACAAAATGTTCACTCACCCATCGCTTATGGTACTTTCTTCTTGCGTTTCCATATTTTTCGATAGACGTCACTGACCAAAGTGACCACGTGGTAATAGTATCATTGGAACCTAATATATTTCTGACGTCATAGTTTGCTACACACCATTCAGTTTCTTTCAATGCTTAATTTTGTCTTGCATTACGAAAACTCGTAATATAGTCTCTCACAACTAGCTATATTACGAGTTTCCGTAATTTAACTATATTACGAAAAATAATAATATAAGAATAATATTACGATATTCTGTAATATTACGATTTTTCGTAATATTACAATTTTTCGTAATATTACGATTTTTCGTATTGGACTGGACTGTATAGACATAGCAATATTTTCAGTACGCCACTGCAAGATCATAATTATTTTGTAAATCTTGTATCAACTCGTTCCAAAACATACATGTAATATACAGAATATAAGTAGTGCAGTAATATTTTATTTTCCGATACCTTCAAGTGTCTAAAAATAATATTTTGCAGATTTTTTTTTTTTATTCCTATGATATAGATAAAGTTACATAAATTGTCAAAATCATGTGTTTCTTTTAAGATAATTGTATCACAAAACAAAAGATTTATGTGAAATATAAATATAGAGGAAGAAGTGAAGCAATATTTTTGTGTTGGGTTACATGTATATACACATTGTTTTCCTTTTATTTTTCGTCTTAAAAGTAGATTTTTAGGTTCTGAAATCTGCAATTTTCTGAAAGCTAATGTCTTCAAGAACTGAACAAAATTTGCATGTATCAAGAAAAATTTTACTTTTGTAAATTTTCCCGTTTTCCGTCAAGGTGTCTCTTTAAAAAAAAATCACACACTGTACATAGAAACATTCCTCGTGAAAAGAAGCAGACCTTATATTATTATAAAATGTCAAAGGAGATAATAAAATCGGAATCTTTTATTTTAATAAAAGAATTAAGCATATGTAATCTCATTGATCTCTACTGAACCGTCAATGTGTAACTCGTCGTACTTTTCAAGTGGGAACAATCTGATGTTAAAGTAGTGAGGATCAGGATTCTGGTTGATAAATACCTGAGATAGAAAAAAAAATACTGTACATCACTAAATTTTCGTGACACCTTATTTTTGCGAGATAGTCATTTAATCTTCATAAGCTAGACAAAATTTTCCCAAATTAGCTGTGATTATATACAGGTATAACTGTTTGTGTTATGTACACGTACCAGGTACTCATTGGGCTGCACATGTATACAGATTTCAAAAGGTTGACCAGCCTGAAACATGCTCCCGTCAATCCTCTCTTCCGGTCCCCATCCACCTTGACAATGGTTCATCACCACACAGCCTTGGCTTGGACGAGGATTAAAATGGAAGCCAAATTCCTCCCCAGATTTGAGGTTGATCGCAAATCTACAGAGATGATTTATATGTGGTGGTTTAATCATTGTGTATATGTGTATGTATATTAATTTTCTTTTCATTTTCTAAAGAAAAACTATTTTATAGATTTGACCCTAATTCAGAGAATATTCAGGAAAAATTTACTTCGTATGCAGTCAACAGTTTTTTTTTTAAATCATAAGATTTTATCCAGACAATGGCATACAAGTTCTTTTGTTTACCTTAGCTAAAATTAAAAAAAAATAATAATAAATTGGATTATGGTAATTTACATTTAAAAAAAAATATTTTTAGTAGTATTAGTTACATAGAATTACATGTACCTGTCATCTGCCGTCACCACTCCTTTTATGATAATAAGATACATAGTAGAGTTACATGTACCTGTCATCTGCTCTGACCACGCCTTTTATGATAATAAGATACATAGTTGAGTTACATTTACCTGTCATCTGCTGTGACCACGCCTTTTATGATAATAAGATAGATAGTGGAGTTACATGTACCTGTCATATGCCGTCACCACGCCTTTTATGATAATAAGATACATAGTAGAGTTACATGTACCTGTCATCTGCTGTGACCATGCCTTTAATGATAATTGATCTCCCTGGAACTACCCCATCAGGAACACGCGTAGAATACGGTACTGGCTGAAATGTACACAACACATATATACAATCAGTATATCTCATTTAAAGTTCCATTTGTGTCTTCATCAGAAAATGTACTTAAGTAAAAAAGTTTTTTTAGTTCTTTAGTTACCTTTTCACGCGACATAAAAGGCAAGTTGGTGAAACAAAGAGTAGTTGTACTTAAACATCATGATAAAGATATTTGGGGTAGAATAGGATGGTGTTAGAAGAGGAAGGGGCAGGCAGGGGGGGGGGGTGGAGGAAGGAGAAATTATATTCGGTTAATAGCTAGGTTGTTTGTTTGTTTGTATGTTGTTTAACGTCCCTCTCGAGAATTTTTCACTCATATGGAGACGCCACCACTTGCCGGTGGAGAGCTGCAAATTTTGTCCTATACTTGGCACTTACGGCCATTGAGCAGTGAGGGGTCTTTTTCGTGCCAGCACCTACTGCGACTCGGAACCTCGGTTTATACGGTCTCATCCGAAGAACCGGTCTCCACGTCCCACAGTGGGATTCGAACCCGCGACGTAAGGATCAACTCCTTACTTCGCGACTCTAGAGCAGACGCTCTTACCACTGCGCCACGCGGGCGACTGTTAATAGCTAGGTACAATATATTGAAACAGCTTTTAAATGTGATTTAATTATGTATTTTTATCATACCAAGTTTTCTAAAATAAAACGTACAGTATTTTCTAAAATGTGTTTTCTTTAATCTAAATCATTTATACCTAGTTACTTTATTCTTAAAAACCCGGTATTTTACTTAATTGTTTGTTTGTCAATTGTTATTTCAAATATTGGGTACCGTGTTCTCTCATGCATTGGAATTTGTCGAAGGAGAGATACATAGTCACTCTTACACACGTAATTTACATAATCCGCATTGAAAATCAAACTAGTCGAGGTTGTATATTTCGAAATACTCCTTCTATTATTGAGAAATAACCCCTCCGTCTTTGACTTTAAAGATAAATATCTTTTTGAGGTGTAGTTTTGTAAAGCCTTTCTCAGTTTAATTTAAAATAACTTCAAAAGATTCAGATTTAAATATTAATATTTATTTTTTTTTTTTTGTCACTGACATTGTCACGATTTCGATATAAAAAGGAATAAACCTTAGAAAACCATTTTTATTCAGTGGTTCTAGAATAGTTCCAACACTTTTCTCTATTTCCATGTTTATTATTTCCCAAATTCTGTTTTTGATTTTTTAATCTGCTTGGTCTTATCTTCGAGCGTGTGTGTGTTTCAACAGCAAGTCAATTGTAATTAAAACACCAGTTTCAAAAACCAAATAAATTTATCAACCCATGCCTAGACAAACAAAAAGAAATAGATAACTCAATAAATCCACGCCATGTAGTAAAACCTAACCTACTTAACACTGTAAAACACTACGCACCTAACGTACAGAAAGGTTGGTCCAACCTAGCCGGGGAAAAGGCCTATGATAATTAAGGAAAAAAATCTTATTATTTTGGAACATCGTAGAACCCAACTCCTAACGTCTAGATTGATGTGCCTTACAAACAACCTAACCCGCATTGAAAATTAAACTAGTCAAGAATGTGTATTTCTAATAACTCCTTCCTTTACTGAGAAATACCTCTCTGTCTTTGTCTTTTAAAATCAACATCTTGTTTGGATGGTAGCATTGTAAAGCCCTTGTCTGGTTAATTTAAAACAACTTCAAAAGATTCAGATTTAAATTTAAATATTCATATATTTTTTTTGTCACTGACATTGTAGAGATTGCGATTCTTATTGGAGTAAACCTAAGAACACCATTTTTATTAAGGGTTCAAGAATATTTCGAACATTTTCCTTTTATTCATGTTAATAATATCCCAGATTCTTTTTTATTTGATATTGTGATTGGTCATATTTCCGAACGTATTTTTACCTTACTTCAACACCAAGTTAATTGTAATTAAAACACCAGTTTCAACAATCCACAAAATTTATGAACCTTTGTATAGACAAAAAAAGATATTAAAAAAATATGCAGATAACAATGGTAAATCCATGCAGAAAAAGCCTTACCTTCCTTACAACTTAAAAATCACCCCTTAACCCCTTACCTGTCGCACAAAAATGTTAAAGTAACCCAGCCGTTGACAATTAAAGGCCTATTATAGGATGATTTTGAAAAAAAAAATATTATTTGGAACATCCTAAAACCCAACTCCTAACTTTTAGATTGATGGCCATAAATTTAGCAGGAGCAATAGACGATTAAATATTGATAATGAAATGATATTTAAAATATAAGGTATATTTTCGTACGACAAAATTCATTCCTGATATTCAGGCATAATAAAGCATTGACATGCAATATTGTGAATTATTTTTTATCCTCAAATGTCATTCGATAATCAAAAACGATTTCATAACCAATAAACATGTTATTTAGTATTATTGGAAGCAACAAACAACAATTTATACAAAACTGAATTGCAACTATATTTTTTAATTATTTTTGAGATTTGATTTTAAAGTTAATTAACTTTGATCTTGAATGCTCAAGTGAACTGTTATCTCCATGAAATATATGGAGATAACGAACAGTATTCAAGCTCAAAAGTCCATAAATCAATACGAAATAGGAGCAGAGCAAACACGGACCTCCAAACATCAGAGGTGGGATCAGGTGCCATGGAGGAGTGAGCATCCCCTGCCGACCGGTCACACCCGCCGTGTGCTCCTTGTCATGATCGGGAAATAACGGAAAAATCCGTCGACAATTCAGTGTGTAAATAATGGCCTAACAATTAGTGTGAAAAACGTCAGTCAGCATTTGACTCAATGATAAATTGTATTTGCTGACAAGGTCATTGTATCGACCATAGAACTTACGAAATGATGACTTTAAACGAGACAGCTGATATTCTTGTTTCATCAACTTATTTGTCAATAATTTACCTCGTTTAAGAAATTGTACATACGTAGAGCATGCTCTTGCGTATCGAATCAAACTTCTTTGAACTTTCCGTAACTAATCACCGAATTTCCTGTCTTTTTTCATATAAGTGCAGTAGTACTAAAAATCAAACAACTACCCGCTCATCATATTTGATCACTAATACTTTTTTTTTTCAAGAAAATATTCGCTTCAGACCAGCACACTTTAGCATCCGAATTCAAAGCACTAGTCCTTCCAAGTATATATACTCTAGTTAAAATATACTACTGGCAGTTGGTACAATATTAATATGCAATTGTCCGACTCAAATGCATACAAGATATATATATATATATATATATATATATATATATATATATATATATATATATATATATATATATATATATATATATATATATTTCAAGGAGGTGCTCAAATCTTCTGAATAGCCTTTAGGGCTTCATAGAATTGGATGACCTGACCAAATCACTGGAAACACTGACTGGGAAATGTAGTGGTTTTGTACGTAATTGAATTTTCTGAGCAGCCTTTTGGTTCCTCGGGTTATTATCACGTGACCAAATCACTTCATTTCCTAGTGAAACATTTAAACGTTATTAGTGATTTGATAATTATTAAACAATAGGTACTTACATACATTGGATTGAAGAAGAAGAACTGAACGATGCTTATAAACAGTATGCTATGAACAAAATAACCTGTGTATGGAATTCAATGGTAAAGAATGTGTGTATTTCTAAATACTCCTTCTATTATTGAGAAATAACTCCTCTGTCTGTGTTTTTAAAAAGATCAATATATTAATTATTGCAGAACCCTTCTTTGGGTAATTTAAGACATATGACATTGTTCAGGATTAAATGGTTCAGAAGAATCAAAATACGATTTTTAACATTGATATCTCTTCTTTCTTTTACTGATAAGACCACCATAGCGATACTCTTGCATAAAAAAATACAGAAATGCAATTTCGTTTTTAAACCAGTTGTTATCCGAAGATGCCATGAAATAATCAGAAACATAATAAAAGAAAATAATATTAATAAATAAATAAAATTTTATCATAAGGCCATCATTAAAAATATCTTTGTTTCCCCTAACCCGACCCTAAAATCTCAAGTTGAGTAGATAGGTAGGTAAATATTTTTTTTCCTGACAACAGCTTTGAAAATACATTATAAAATTTAATGGAATAAAACCTTTATTGATTAAAAAAAGTACGAAAGAAAATGATTTGTAAACAGAACATCATTCCATTACCACTGCCGTTCAAAATCAAACTTTAAGGTATTTTATTATTCAATTCAAATATCTCACGACAATGTAAATTTACTGAAATCAATTTTTTTAAAAGACAAGACTCTCGGATACGCAAATACAGGACATCCGAGTATATTTTCCAGACCTACAAGCAGCTTCCTTTTCTTACACACGCAATGTACTTTTTCTCGTATTGTGCAGGCGCAGTGATCGGAAGGTCATGAGTTCGAATCTTGGCCGAGACTGACCTAAGTCGATAAAAAAAAGGTAGCAACTGTTCATTCGCCAAGCGCTCGGCACTTTGAGGTGAAAGTTGCAGGTCCTTCGGATGAGACCTTCAAAACCGAGGCCCCTTATCACGGTAGGCGTTGGCACGATAAAGAGCCCCCACTGCTCAATGGCCCTGAGTGCCGAGTAAAGGTCTAAATTTGAAGCCCTTCACCGGTATATGGTGACGTCTCTATGTGAGTGAAAAATTCTCGATTGGGACGTAAAACAACAATCAATCATAAATTACCATGCTTCCTACGTACCTTAATATTAAAAGACAGGTTTGTAAATACCACTGAAACATTCCGAATTAGTCATCGTATATTTTATAAACGAAATATTTCAAGAGTTTAGGATTGTAATAAACTAAAGACATAAAGATGATGCATCGCTGTTGTTTCATTTCTGTGACAACATGTTGTGGGCGCCATTTTGTTCCCAACAAACGTTTAAAAATCACAGCAGAGCAAAATTAGCCGTTCTGATAAACTTAAATGGATTTAATGAAAGTTGATAAAAATTTAAAAAAAAAAAAAAAATTAAATGATCTTATTTAAAAAAACTTTTCAGTCGGCTTAATTTAATTGGGTCGGTCCCATTAGGGGAAACAAAGGGATTTTTTTTATTTTGGCCTAAGTTTCACATTCTTTGACCCATGGCACTTGAAGAAGATTTTTTGAATGATCCAGGTTCTTATTTTTAATAACAAACCCTATTTCTGTTTTATGCCATATTGATTATCTCCCCGTGAAATGGACATGACCCTTCAATTGAAAAAAATTAAAATCTCCTTTATTTAAGATTGTGTTGTGCCAATTTTTGTTAAAATGGTCCAGTGGTTCTTTAAAAGTAGACGAAATTGTGAAAGTTACACACGGGCTGTTAGACGGACAGTGGATAATCAGAAAAGCTCACTTTAGCTTACAGCTCAGATGAACTACACAAAAAACCTTAACCACAAAAACTTTCATTTTTTTAAATATCATTTTTAGAAGCAAAAGTATAGCTTCAGTTATTTTTCGCACTGTACCATGAACTTTGTATGTTTTGTTTTTGTTTTTTTTTTTTCGGAAAAAGAAAAATAAAGGATATTTTTGTTGAACTCTGACTTCTGCAACTAAATTTAAAATTAAATGGTAAATACAAAAGATTGTACGTCGGTTGTTCAAAAAGTTCGCAGACCTTAGACTGTCAAAACTTGTCTTACTTAACGTGTTATTTAAGTAAATAATAGTCTTATTTTATCTGCATTTGTAAGATTTGTTATAAAAATATTTTTTTTTATATTACATTTTTCAAAGAATTAAAATTTCAAACTACGAAAATGGGATCTCGGAGCAGGTCAAAATTTAATCATTTACAAACACGTTCATGATAATATCTGCAGTCATTCTTCTGTAAAATAACGCAGAAATGAGAAAAAAATCTAGACACCAGATTGTGTGAAAGCAGTTGAGAGAGAGAGAGAGAGAGAGGGAGAGAGAGAGAGTACTTTTGAGATACTCATTGAGACACTCATTATATATTTTATTTTTTGGCGTTACAGTGCTGTTAAGTGTGCTACATTGTAAAAAAAAAATTAATTAATCTTAATAAAAATTAATCTTAATTTCAAAATTCAGTTACATGAATTCCATTTCATAATATTAAATGAAACTTCACACTTCAAAGAAATAAATATATATATATATATATATTACACATTTTACACATGATAAAGCTTATTCTTGAATCTTTTGAATATAAAGAAATTGACACTGTCCACAAAATTTTCGAACGGCCCTCAAAACTATAGATTTTTTGTTTTCTATATTTAACTAAAATAGACCAAAGAATTCTCAAAAATGATAAAGTTATGTTCACAAGCACCTGTCTATCCAGGTGAATAAAATTTTTTTCTATACTGAACCAAAAATCCAGAACGATTCGGTATGAAAAGTTATTTTACTTGCAGTCGTCTTCAATTTGAACATAACATGTTTTTCTACATCACTTCTAAATAAGAGCAAGAAATTCAAAATTTTCTAATTTTTATCCCCTTCCTCTCAGTGTTCGTTGGGACTTCAGCTTATGTAAAACAATTAAAAAAACAAAATACGTAGTTTGAGAAGTATGTATCATTAAATCATTGACTGAAAATAAATCTAACAAGGGTTTCTTTCAAGTCAAAACAATGATTTAGCCGCCCTCGAAGTACAAATATTCACTCCTCAGGTGGCTAAATCATTGTATGAACCTCACACAGCAATCATTGTATAACATACCACACGGCAATTACAGCGCCTGTCTTTGTTAACTATATCAAAACACAATGTATATATATTCAATATATTACAGTTATTACATATTCAATATAAAAGAGTAATTACAATATTAATCAATTTACTAACCTCAAAATAAATCACTATACTACAGTAATGACATTAATATACTGCAGATACAATAGGCATAATACAATGTATTAAAGTACTGAATGAAGAATCGAAAAATATTTCTTTATATACATTTAGTAGACAATAGTTACACTCAATGTACTTACGAAATTAGAACCAATACAAAAGTGATAATAGTCCAATATGCTGACGTAATTACAGACAATTCACTATAGTTATCAACGTTAATGTACTTTATATCGAATATAGTCAATGTACGAAAGTAGCTACAGTCACTTTGCTACATTAATTACTGTAATTATAAATGTATATGATGTAGTACCCTTTTCCAAAATTTTCTGATACATGTGTCCTTTGTTTCATGTATTTTTTCCTAGAAAACATTGAATATTCGGCATTGTAAGGTCAGATTATTAGGTTTATGCAGTGTATCATAAATGCCAGTAGGTTTATATTAAAAATATATTACATTTAACTTGACTTTCTCTTGAATGTATGGAAAATGTGTTATGTAACATTATTTCCTTTTTCATGCGATAAACTGATGTACATGTACCAACTTTATCAAACACATTTAAGAAATGTTTACTCTAAAGTCAGTCAAATAACAAAATATTATTTACAGAAAATACAAGAGCCCCAAGGGCTTTAAAACCACCTGAGTATGATTCATCACTGTCAAGGATCATAGAAATATAACCTAAATGAAATAAACTGATAGATGAACATATGTTGCCCAAGACCAAGGGACTGAGGAACCCCTGACCCTGGGGCATGAAATTCATTATTTTGGAAGAGGTATCCTTGCTCATCATAACCATGCACTAAGTTTGTCTCCTTAATATCCGGGAGCAGAGACAGAGTTTCTATATTGCATAATTTTCAATAGCCCCCCCCCCCCTTTCCCACATAAGAGCCACTGACTCTCTGGCCACAAAGTTTGCAATTTGAAAGAGGTACCCTTACTCTTTAGAACCATGCACTAAGTTTATCTGCTATAAACCAAGAAGCAGAGATGACTTACAAAGACTTCATGCATTTTCACTATATAATCAGCCCCGACCTAGCACCAGAATCCCCTTCCCAGTGGCCATGAAATTTACAATTTTTTTGGAAGAGACACCCTTGCTCATCATACCTATGTACTTAATTTATTAATTCAATGCCAAGGATCAGAGAAGAAGATTTTTCAAAGATATGCATTTTCACCATATAATGAATAGAACTCGCCCTAATACAAGAACCTCTCACTCTGTGGCAATAAATTTCACAGTCATGTAAGGGATAGCCTTGCTCATCATAACCATGCACTTATTTTTTAATACACAGGAACAGACAAAGATTGATTGACTGATTGTATGTTGTTTAACGTCTCATTCGAGAATTTTTCACTCATATAGAAACGTCACCGTATGCCGTGAAGGGCTTCAAGTTTAGACCAATACTCGGCACCCAGAGCCATTGAGCAGTGAGGGTTCTTTATCGTGCCAACGCCTACCGTGACACAGGACCTCTGTTTTCAAGGTCTCCACCGAAAGACCAGTGACTTCCAGTTCTAGTGCCGAACGCTTGGCAAAGGAACAGTCACTACTTATGTTTACGTCTTATGTTTGATGCAGCGCAGCGAACGAGAATCAAAACCGGGCCTCCGTGACCGGTTAACAGAGAAAGAAGAGGCACATCAAAACCGTGTGCCTTATTTATCTGCTTAATATAAAGTGGGATAGATGAAGATTTTTGAAGAATTTATTTACTTCCACAATATGATCATAGAGCCCTTTCTTTGCTTTAGAGCCCCTGCTTCAGGGGCTAGGAATTTCAGAATTTTTGTATAGGACTCAAGACTTATTACAGTGTGTACAACCATGGCAACATTTCAACTGCCTTATGTCAAAATTATAAAAGATGATTTTTAAAGATTGCATTTATTTTGATGGCTTTAGCCCCACTTCTCAATTCTTAGGGGGATACGGACCATGAAATTTTCATTTTTTTGTACCCCTTCACTTATAGATGTGCTATGCCAAAATTGGTTCTGCGGTTCTAGAGAAGATGCTGAAAATGTTCAAATGTTAACAGACAACGACAGACAAAAACAGATAGAAAAAGGTCACCCGAGTGACTCAGGTGACGTAACAAAAGACTGCTGTACTCTGTGCATTAATTTGCTGACCATTTTTACGTTAATTTACAAATTCAGTATCTGAGAACAAAGGAAACATTTCAAAAATATCATTTTCTATATATCAATCATTTATCGATAAAGATAAATGAAAATTTCCCAACGAACAAGAACAAGGTTAGTTACAATATGTACAGATACAGATAAAATATAATTTAGGATAACAATATGTTAAATACCACTTTTAAATAAAGAAATTCAAATTAAATATTAAACTGTTATCCATAGTGGGTATTTCAAAACATTACAATGACAGAACTCATTGGATATTGAATCCCTAGAACGTCGAAAGTAAATCAGTGCTACAAATTATTGCACAATATTTACATCCACTGAATATTTTCTCCTTTATTTCTAAAGAAAACCATTGCCGTTTATCAGTTCATGAACAACACTAGGAATATCACCTGTACAGATTTCTTGATCAGTGGCTGTTTCATTAATGAAACGTACTATGACGTACATATCAATAATACAATAATCAATCTTTTTAATCCTACTTTAAATGATTATTTATACAGATATAAATATAAACAATAAAACGTCTTTCTTTTGTTGTTAGTATGGGAATTAATGTCGCAGCTATTGCAGAAAAAAATTTTTTCTGCAACAGCTGCGACATTAATTCCCATACTTTCAACCAAAGAAAGCATTTTATTGTTTAAATTTTCACAATGGATGTGATTTAAAATCATCATGAAGACATCAGGTCCTCTTCTTTTTTTCCTACAGAAATGTTCGTTGCTGTCACGTTTATATTATCGAATTCCAATATCCACTCAGTTCAATTTCATTTATTCTTCTCTTCAAAACATCACCACTAAGTCTTAGTATGGCCTGAAAAGAAATAAAAGAAACAACTCCTTTAGAAAATATAACGTCGATTTCTGTTGACAAAGATTATAACATAGAGACTATTTTTATTAAACAGACACATTGAACAACCCAATTAATAACAGAGATTTTCGTATTGTGACACTACTTTTTGAAGACAATAGTAATTGCAAAAAGAAAATAGTAACATAAATAATTGAGGAAAATAGTTGAACTTTGCAAATACAGTAGAAGATTGATTTAAACATGCAAATATAAATTTTTGCTCCCGTGAATTTTCTTAATGCCTCTTTTGTATAATATGCTTTATTTTCTTCTGAATTTTTTGAGAGATAATCATTCAATATATATATATATATATATATATATATATATATATATATATATATATATATATATATATATATATATATATATATATATGGGGGGGGGGTGTTTGGGTGTGGGTGTATAAAGTTGGCCTTCGATTGTTTAACCTATCCTCTTCAACGTTTATGAATGCCCATGGCTACTCTAGAAAAAAGTATAAAGGTTTACAGTCGAAAAAGAATCCACAACCACAATTGCAAATTGTCTCATTTAAATTTTACCCACTGTTGGAAAGCAAAATAACCTCAACTTATATTACTTTGACTCACCTTAGAAAGATCATCCCAAATAATTTTAAAAACATCATCACTCATTACAGGGCTACTTCCTGGATCATGGCTGTATCTATTTCTATATAAACGAATCCTCTCTATGTCATCACCCTCTTTGATGTCAACTATTTTAGGTTCCTTTCCCCATCCATTCCCAGGAGGACCAATGTCAGAGAAATTCCGCAACAATTTATACATGATTGTAACGTCCATAGATAAAGATGATACACTGGTTTTGGATCCACCTTCAAAAAATTTAATCAATACGAAAGGTACACATTATGCAATGAATAAAGTAGAACTCATGATTTTCTTCTACAAAAATGTATTTAGATACACGTCAGAGTTATACATACCCTTACAACATCACCTGCCTAGGGAGTGTGAGTTTTTAATTTAACTGGCAATCAATTTTAAAACGTTTAGATATTTGAGCTCATCAAATAGGCTCATACAATTGTCTTTCACTCTCTTTGTCTTTGAATTTCATAAACATAGGTCAAAATATCTTTAAAATTGTTTAAAAATAAAGATTTCCTTACATTTTAAACAAAATAATATTTCAAATAAATAAGTGTTTCATAAATCATATCACTTCCAGCATAACAAAACAAATAAGGCTTTCTTGTCAATTACAACATTTTATCAAAATAAACTGAAACCAAACTAAACATTTCTTATAATGTATTTACATCAACACCTTAATTAAAAACAAAGATGCCCCAATGCTTCAACTCCTCTACTCCGAAACCTGTAGAGATCATTATTTATTTTTGGTTTATTTTGTTGTTGTCAAGACTTTTTGACTTGTTCGATATTGAAACGACTGTTATTTTCTATTATTGGTAACATTAAATTCATTTAAACGTACACTTTCCCATTCTTGTTTTGATATTAAAAAAATGCTTAAACTATTTTGCTTATCAGTAGACTTTTTCAGGTATAATTAAATATCTGTATACTTTTTTGTTTACTTTTTTATCCAACACAAGAGTGATAATGTGTAATGTAATTAGATGTTCTTGTTCTTTATTTAATGATTCACTGAATACTGATAAATAACTAGTTTTTAAGGGGTCAAATTTTCTTGGTTTGAGAAAAACTTAATGGTTTGAGGGGATTTGATTTCATGGTTAAAGGAGAAACATTATGTAGTACATAGTATAGACATTATTTTCATATCATAATTTTAAGAAAATAGTCTTTTTACAAACCATTAAATTTCTTTAAACTATAAATTATTTTTAGAACTAAAACATTCATCATTAAGGAAGAAAACCCGTAAGTACCTTGCGTAGGGAAGAGAATCTCTAGTTGAGGTTGTTGAAATCGGAACTGTCCTCTTCTCATGTCTGGTTCATTTTCTTTCAGAGTCTTTTCCAAATTCTTTTTAGGGAGGAATTTATCAAAGCAGATCCTTACTGCGTCAGTCCCAATGTGCAACAACTTTAGAATCTTGGCAAAATTATCTACATAAAAAATGTTCCTTAAAACTGTGTTTAAATTCATAGCAAAATTAGTTAAGATGAATGTAATTACTGTAAATCACAAATAAAGAAATCATTAAATTCTTCCTCAAACATGTTAATTGAAGAAGCACACGTGTACAGCTGACGGAATTTACTTCAATATAAGTATATATACCTAATCAACAGTGTTTAATAAACAGCAAGTAACAAAGAGAGGTTTTGTTAAAGGTCTTATCATACGATGAACTTGTACGGGTAACATCCTCATCTTTTGTTTTGAAATCATGACGTCAAATCCTGATGTTAAGCCACAGGAATAGCATTTTAATATGTCTTCATCTTCACGTACAGAATTAGCAGGTAAGGTTATCAATAAAAGTACTTATTTCTTTTTTTTGTGATCGGTGTATTAAATGATGAACAAGAAACTATCTAAACATACCAAGGAATGATTCCTACACCCCATGTAATTGTACTACTAAGATGATACCAAGCAGAGTGTTTATTTTGTCCACTGGATTCCTGTAAAGAAATCCCTCCCATGCAACCTAGTAACGTCATTGCTGTTTTCTAGTAATTCATTTTTCATTATATTATTTTTCTAACTCATTTTCTAACTCATTCATAAATCTCCGTATTCCTTTCACCTTTAATTTTTTATTTTAAATTCAAATTCATCAAGGAGACGAGGTTATACCTGTTTATACAGGGTAGTCCTAGTATAAATTCATTATACATTTATTTACATTGTTTTTTTCTCTAAATTTATATGTTTAAAACAGAAAAAAATCATTTAATCTCATCCACGTATTTCTTGGTCTAACAGTTGAACATTACTTGTTCAATACAGTATCCATGTACAATAACTCACTTTTTATTCTTGAGGATTTTATTTATGCATAATAACGCAATTCTTCCTGCTCCCAAAAATTTTTCTTGCATAAATTTCTTTTTTTAAAGATTCTTTAGAACAGTAACCAAAGTTCGCGAAAATTTTGAATTGTTTATAACTTACCAAATGACCATCTCGCGAAAATAAGGTGTCGCGAAAATAGGTGATCTACAGTAAATCATATCATCAACCCACTTAAAAAGAGAAATATTATCCAACTATCTGTTTTATACATCTAGAGTAAGGAATGGTTTCCTAAAGCTAACCTTTTTACAAATACTTTACGATTGATTTTCTTTTATTTGATAACTTGTAAAGAATTAAAACAAAGGATGGAGGTTCAGACAAGTATTTTGCTGATTAATTCACATGATTTCTTTTTCATTTGAAGCCCCCTTCCCCTTTTCAGGAGATATGATTGAGCCCTTCCATGTTACACGTTACATGTATCATACCCAGCATTTTTTTTTCTGTACGGAATAACCCCCATCCCCACCCCACCCTGTTTTTATGAATTTTAAACATTAATTGCTTTTAAATGGTTGTGGTTGTTCATTTCTTCTTTTTTTTAAATAATATGTTCTGCTTTTTCAATTTGTTTTATGGCTGTCCCGACTTTTTATAGCAGGGCTACATGCTTGAAATTTTCGAGATACAATATATATACGAATAAGGCCCCTTCAGTGCAATGTGTATTTCAGAAATGGAAATAATAATTGTTCATTATACATATCTCTAGCATTTGGTATTATAATACTGTTAGTTTCTATTTATCATGAGAATAAAACCCTTACCAATCTGTCGCTTCTAAGAAAGATATGCATACGTAAGTGCGTATGACTAAAATAGATTTCCATTGATATCAAATATTACGTGTATATCAATGTTTCACGTACAAAGCGTTGCGTTACTAGTAATTAAACCTCTCTTATATAACCTCTGCTCTGTAAAACAAGGATTACATGATATAAAGATACCTTTGGTATGTGACTCACTGGTTCCAGAACTCCCTGGCGGTGAACCTTTACACATACCTTTAGCTTCAGTAGGTTCAGCTTCATTGTCCTGCACCTTTAATATGTAAATAATGAAACTAAATCAAAATCTGTGTGCTCATCATGAATAATCATTTAAGATTAAAGATATTTTTTTTAAAAATATATATTATGCATGCATGACAGTAAAACAATATGAAACAAGAGGTTAATTACCACACTACTCACTTGAGTTGCATATCTTTTTCTCACAATACAAATTATACATGTCTCAATGAAATGACAAATTGTTGCATTATTGATTAAGTCTTCTTAGTAAAAAAGAAAAAAATAAATGAATTTAAGGCAGTGTATTAGTATATCCTGATTTTAACAAAACTGAACCCAAACTTAACTACTTGGATCATTGAACAGATATCAATTTACATTAAATAGAAATATTACCTTGACGAGCTATGGTCATTCTTTTTCAAGATGAAAAAAAAAAAATAAGTCATTCCTTCACATATATATGGTAATCATTCGTCTCCTCTTTTCTGACCCCTTGATCATAGGCCATTATTTGAAAATCTGAATGCATGCATTTGCGTCTTTATTTTTTATTTTATTTTCTAACCATTTTTCAATATGTTATTTGCCAAATGTTATCCTTTTTTTCTCTCAAAATTTGTACTTCCATCCTGGCCTAATGGACCATAGTAAATATTCATTCTACTATCATTTGGAATGTTCAACTTTAAGATAAATCATTCGAATTGGTTGAAATTAATTGAAGTAAGACCCTGTGGGGCAAGTAAAATTCAAACAAACATCTAGCCAAGACATACAACAGACAAGTTTTGATCCAGAATTAGCATTTTTAACAGAAACATTATATTCCTGTAAAATGTTACCGTGTCTCTTCTGGAGAGAACAACCATTACATTTGATTACCTGTATCCAATATTTCATGACATTCTTTGAGTTGATGATGTGCTTTCTCTCTATTGGACAGGAAGGACACTGAAAGGTTGGTTTTGTAAATTCTGATTCGCTGATCACAGAACTTTCTTGGCTATCACAAAATCCTGTAGTTTTGCATTTGAAAGCAAGAATGAATTTAGAGTCTGTATGGAATGTTTCGGAAAGAACGTTAAGTATATCGTCGATTTTCCTCTTTATTTGTTGACATGTTGATTTATCGATTTCTCCTTCAATTACAAACACTTGTAACTGAACTTCTGTTGGTGTCATACCAAGTAGAATGTTATGGTTCTCAAACAGAAACACAGCAGCTGTCTGGTAAATGCATTGTTGATCACGATTTGAATTGAGCTTCCATGGTATTTGGATGCAACTTGCTACAAGGCGCTGAAAAATACCAGCAGGAAGAACATCAAACACGAAACAAAGAATGGACGAGGCAGGGTATGATGAAAAGCATTCCGCAGGAAATGGTCTCTTGTTCATACAGGGAACATACCATTTTTTGTCATCCAGTTTAGCCATGAGCCCTAGCCTCTCCATATAGAGCATGATATCTTCTTTGTGTTCAAGGTATCCATTATTGTACATTTTCCATATTGCAGACAACAGTGTGTCATTCAGTTCTCCAGTTTCATTGAATTTATCCCATTCTTTTGCAAACTGAAATAAGTCTTCCTCTGCATGGTTTTTGTCAGTGATAACATTTTTGAATGCATCTGCAAACCACTGAACATCAAGAATAATTATTTCTCTGAGGAATTCTTGGTTAAAATACAAAATTTCTTTGATATCATGGAAAAACTGCAACATGATATTAATATCTTCTACTGTTTCCAATTTTAAGTCTTGTGGCAAAGCTTCATTGAAAGCCAAAAGTGTCCCTTTATTGACTACTTTAAGGTTTTTCTTCTCCTGGAAAAAGTTTTCAAACATAGCCCATGATTGCGGAAGCCTTTCTCCCCAGTGATCAAGCTTCTGAACAACATCAGCAATTGAAAGTTTGATTTTTTCAATACATTTATTGTCATGGAATCCTACTGTAAACATCCTTGCATTGTCAAGATGCCTTTGTAACGACTTGTCTTTCGTGTCCAGAGTCTTCCACACCTCGCGGAAGAACTCTTCTTTCTCCTGGAAAAAGCAAGATAAGAGTAGAGAATGGATAAAAATCCCGAAATAAAGTAATATAAAGAGATTTATATACCCTTATTACAAGTATCATTATATACCTGATACATGTATATTCAATTTGAGCATAAATACATTTAAATATGAAATGAAGTCAACATGGCAAGCTTTATGGTTCCTAAAATTTCTACTAGAATATAATCTCATCTTCAGTGGTGAGCGTAAGGTATTACACAACATACATGTACATGTACTTTACAACTTTCCCTTCCGTCTGATAGTTCCTCAATTTTAAATCAGTGTGCCATTAAATATTCTTCAAAAAAGGATATATTTCTAGGAGTTTTAATGCAGAAATCAAATGATAAAAATTCTTTATGTTTTTTACCTAATCTATGTGACATTATGTTGTAGATTTAAAAACAATCTGATAATTGATAAACTAGAATTATTTATATACCGGTATATATATCGAAAACATGCTGAAAAATGTTTAATATATATGTACTTACAATCAATCTAGTTATTAATAACGGTATCACTTACACCAGACTTTGGATATCAAACTTTAAAGTACAAGATAAATAAAAAATCACGGGGTTTTAACTAATTCTTAACCCACAGAAAAATACTATTAGATACCTTCTTTGTCTTTTTTTCAGAGTGAGTAGCGACCAGTAAAACGGGAGCCCTTACACTGCTGTATTGATGAATGGACTTTGCCCAGAAGGTTAGATAATCTGTATCAAGTAAAATCAAAAGGTCAATGGGCCACATCGCTCACCTGAGCATTGTAGCTAGGAAAAATGCAAAACTCAGTTCTGTATTGATAAGTTTAAGTGCATAAGTGGTCCCAACCTGCAACTTAAAAGAGGAGAGTTGGTATGATTTGAACAAAAACTAAGGATGATTACTACATATTTCTTTAATTAACTGTGGATTTTTCCCAATCAGTTTGAAGTTTCATTGTAGTCCCATCCTACACCCCTGGGTCATGATTTGAACAAACTTGAATCTACGCTTCCTGCAGATGCTTCCACATAAATATGACCAATCATGGCTTTGTTGTTCTTCAGAAGAATATGTTTAAAACATTTTACCTATATATTTCTATGTAAAACTTTGATTGTAGCCCCACCCTACCCCCGGGGTTATGATCTGAACAACTTAAATCTACTCTACCCAAGGATGCTTCAGTTTAAATATGACCCATCATGGGTTTGTTGTTCTTGAGTAGAATATTTTTATTTTTTTTCCTATGTAAAACTTTTATCATTTTTTGTGGCCTCATCCTACCCCCGGGGGTCATGATAAATGTGAATTTACACTACCTGAGGTTGTTTCCACAAAAGTTTCATCTTTCCTGGCCCAGTGGTTCTTGAAAAAACGATTTTTAAAAGATGCCATTAATTTTTTTACTTATTTGTAATAATCTCCCCTAGGAAGAAGGCCTGACCATTCTTTTGTATTAACTTGAATTCCCTTTACCCAAGAATACTTTATGCCAAGTTTGATTGAAATTGGCCCAGTGGTTCTTGAGAAGAAATCGAAAATGTGAGAAGTTTACAGATGGACAGACAGACGTTAGCCGGACAAAATGTGATCAGAAAAGCTCACTTGAGCTTTCGGCTCAGGTGAGCTAAAACATTAAATTAAAATAAATACTTGGTCTAGTAAAATACTAGTGAAAGCAAAACGACATTCACTAAAATAGATACTGGCTAATGTGTTAGATAAAAGTTACACTACTCAATACTCATAATATAACTCACATTAAATTATGAGTGCCATAATGTCTTGTCAATTTTGTACCCAGATTAATGGATATCTTACCCAAAGTGAAGGGGGTGGAATTTACATTTTTAAAATTTGCATGTTTTTTAAAGTATTTTAAAAGATATTTGTCACAAAGCTAAACAACTGCATTTTTTGCTGCAATCTAGCGATCTGCTTATTATTATTTATGATGTAGACTCTCAATTATAGTACAAAAATATTTTTTTCAATCAAAACAGATAAAAATCCATAGACAATTCAGTAAGAAATTATTTGCTTAACAATTTATTTAAAAAACATCAGTCAACATTCAACCTAGCAAAAGACTGTATAAATTTTATAAACAAATAACAAGAGGCCCATGGGCCACATCGCTCACCTGAGAAACTTTGGCCATGCTGTTCTTAATTAGATTCCCCTCCTTGTAATACTTAATGTGGCCCCGCCCTACCCCCGGGGGTCATGATTTTAAGAATTTAAAATCTACACTATCCCAGGATGCTTCCACATAAGTTTCAGATTTTCTGGCCCAGTTGTTCTTGAGAAGAAGATTTTTAAAGATTTTTCTTACATATTTCAATGTAAAACTTTGGATTCCCTATTGTGGCCCCGCCTTACCCCCGGGGGTCATGATTTTTACAATTTAGAATTTTCACTATCCTAGAATGCTTCCACATGAGTTTCAGTTTTTCTGGCCCAGTTGTTCTTAACAAGGAGATTTTTAAAGATTTTTCCTTTATATTTCAATGTTTAACTTGGATTCCCTATTGTGGCCCCGCCCTACCCCCTGGGGTCATGATTTTAACAATTTAGAATCTCTACTACCCCAGGATGCTTCCACATAAGTTTCAGCTTTTCTGGCCAAGTGATTCTTGAGAAGATTTTTAAAGATTTTTCCTTTATATTTCAATGTAAAACTTGGATTCCCTATTGTGGCCCCGCCCTTCCCCCGGGGGTCATGATTTGAACAATTTAGAATTTACACTATCCTAGAATGCTTCCATATGAGTTTAATCTTTTCTGGCATAGTGGTTCTTGAGAAGAAGATTTTTAAAGATTTTTCCTTTATATTTCAATGTAAAACTTGGATTCCCTATTGTGGCCCCGTCCTTCCCCCGGGGGTCATGATTTTAACAATTTAGAATCTCCACTACCCCAGGATGCTTCAATGTAAGTTTCAGCTTTTCTGGCCCAGTTGTTCTTGAGAAGAAGATTTTTAAAGATTTTTCCATTATATTTCAATGTAAAACTTGGATTCCCTATTGTGGCCCCGCCCTACCCCCGGGGGTCATGATTTGAACAATTTAGAATCTCCACTACCCCAGGATGCTTCCACATAAGTTTCAGCTTTTCTGGCCTAGTTCTTGAGAAGAAGATTTTTCGAGATTTTTCCTTTATATTTCAATGTAAAACTTTGATTCCCTATTATGGCCCCGCCCTTCCCCTGGGGTCATGATTTTAACAATTTAAAATCTCCACTACCCCAGGATGCTTCCACATAAGTTTCAGCTTTTCTGGCCTAGTGTTTCTTGAGAAGATTTTTAAATATTTTTCCTATATATTTCAATGTAAAACTTGGATTCCCTATTGTGGCCACGCCCTATCCCCAGGGGTCATGATTTTAACAATTTAAAATCTACACTATCCCAGGACGCTTCCACATAAGTTTCAGCTTATTTGGCCCTGTGGTTCTTGAGAAGAAGATTTTTTAATGACCCCACCCTATTTTTGTCTTTTCTTAATTATCTCCCCTTGTAAGGGGCCTTGGCCTTTTATTTTAACAATTTAAACTCCCCTTCACCCAAGAATACTTTGTACCAAGTTTGGTTAAAATTGGCCCAGTGGTTCTTGAGAAGAAGTTGAAAATGTGAAAAGTTTACAGACGGACGGACGGACGACGGACAACGGGTGATCAGAAAAGCTCACTTGAGCTTTCAGCTCAGGTGAGCTAAAAAGTAGAATTTGATGCACAAGATGCGTATTTCGACAATTATGTCTCTTCAGTGATGCTCATGCTGAACTGTTGGAAATCCAAAATATTTAAGTAAAAAAGACCTTGAGGAGCTCAAAAAGGTGCCAAAGGCTAAAGCCCAATTAGGTCGAAGCATCAGAGCTTATACATGAGGGAGATTATCCTTAATTGTGAAATAAATTTCTAAATTTTACCATTTTATATCAATATTATGCCTTAATTTGATTAATGTCTTTTCATATCGATATATAAAGAAAAATACTATTGAATACAGGATTTATTTTCAAACACTCCACTGGGTTTGGTTTTTCAATATTGTGTTATAGTCACAAACCTCTGTGTGTCCATCCCCTGTAAATGGAGCCTTCCTGGCTACACACTTCTTCGCCAACCTTGTCATCAAACTTTTTCTCCATATTGAGCACAAGAATGAAGAATGCTCGTGGACTCAGAAAAATCTGGTGTGAGGCATAATATGCACATTGACCAGCAAAGTCGACAATGGTGATTCTTTTTCCAGGGTCAAGAGAATCATCTTTTAGAACTGGTAAAATTCCCAAACTTTCTAATCCCTCAACATTTTCGTGTTCTTCAACTACTCTCTCCTTTTCTTTTTCAGAAAATGCAGTAGCTTCATTTCTATTTAATGAATCCGTTTCTACCCTAATGCTGTCGCGTGACATTTGTTTATCATAAACTGCTCTGCTACCAGTGTCTTTGTTATCAATATCTTGAGCTTTCCTGTCATCAATTAGTTTTACAGGCTGTTTTGGAACATTCTGGTGTTGTGTTGTTTTATCAATTTTAACATTGAAGTGCTGTTTTCGATTTGACGACTCAACTGCAAAAAAATAAATAAATAAAATTACACCTCTGGTGAAAAAAATTATTAAAGAAAAATTGTGGTTTAAATTTTTGAATCAAAGCATTTGTTAGTCTCATTAATAAAATCTTCCACTTTAATCCTTATTTTAAGCACAAGGTAGTCAAGGTCTATGTTCTTAGGTAGATCTTTCAATCTGCCTTTTTCTTTCTCTCATTTATCACAGGTAGGTTAAGGCTTCCCCCATAAAAATCACTGCAGTCACTTCTTTGAACAACCAAGTTATGCCGTCATTATATATATATATCACATGGCTTCGAGGGTGACATACCAGAATGTTTGCCCCAAGGTGACAGGAAAGTCCTGGAGTGTTATGTCAACCGAAATCATTACATCTCGAATCCGAGCTACAAATGCGTAACATAAAAACACGTGAAAGTGATCGAGAGGGTGTTATAACTGTTTCCGTCGGGTGATATAACTATTTCCGGCGTGTGACATAACTGTTTCCAGTGTGATTCAGCATTCTTCAAGGTTTATAGTGAAACTTATTACATTTGTGATATAATAGGAAAACTTATTCAAATGTGTTATATAAATGAATATGACGTCAAGCCACTGCAAGCTTGAGCTGTTATGACGGGGAGAGTGTCAAAAATTCAAGCCATGTTTCAAACAACACGTAGATTTTTAACTTTATTGTTAAATTTGCCTCTCTTGACTGTAGTTTTAAATCTGCGGGTGTGTACATGTAATTATTACTGAATATTTAAACATAATTTTGTTCCTTTTCTGTAGAATGAAATAAATTGTATTCAATACGATATTGACAAAAGCTTGACTTTGAAATGCTCCCGTTTACAGGATTGTGATTAGAGATAGAATTCACATGTATGTACGCGGGTATGTTAAGGCTACACCCAGACATCCTATTTGCCTGTACAATATGATGTCATAGTAAGCTGTATGACGTGAACATTAGAGATAATGATTTCTTAATTAGTATCTATATTTAAAGTTCAATTTCAAGAAGTGAATGGAATCATTTAATATAAACTAAATCTTGTCATTTTTGAGTAGTATAAATGGCTAAGTATTTATCACAGATGTTAAATACCTAACCAATGACATCATAACTATTGATCAAATATTTGCCGAGTGAAAATTAAACGTGACGAGAATTCATGTAAACAAAGGTATGAAATGAGTTTTAAAGCATATACCTTGAATGTCTTGTGTGGTTCATAAGGAACTAAAAATTAAGAATCAGGTATGCTGATTTATTCTTATCATGTTTTCTTATAATGAACACAGGCAGTGTCTTGAAATCCTGATCGGCTTTTCCACTGTCGTTCACACAACAAAAATGCAAAAGTTGAACACTACGCCGCATACTTTGAAACATAATTTTGGTTTGTTTCGAAAGCCTGTATTCTATAGTTCTTGGAATGTGGTGCTAGAATCGTGTGGTTAACCTAAATTGATGACAATTCCTTGATCATATGTACAAAATGTAAAACTTTTGGCAAGGTTTCATACGAAACTTTGGAATATTTTTTTGTGTCGGGAGAGTAGGATTCTAGCAGCACTTTTCATGGCTCAGTAATGTTTTTACATAATTATTTTCACTAAAAAAAAATAAATTGTCCACGGGGTAGTGTTGAACTTTTCACTTTTTCGTTAAGGCAATTTCTCTAATGACAGACATCACATGATGACGTTTTACATTTTATAAAGTCTAAATTCGCTGAAAAAAGATCTGGGTACTTCTTTAACATACCTGCATAAATTAGAGACTGGCGCAAGTGAAAAATAAGGATTAACTTGAAATATTTCATGAAAATTTACAAGAGGAGAATGTTATCTAAATGAATTTTGCTAGGGATGGAAGTGTAATTGCTCCGCTTTGATATAAATTATGACGAAAAGTGGAAAATGCCCTCAAATGTGTGGGTAAATTGATATTCTCATGAAATATTTCATACACTCACAATACTTTGGCTCCTCCCAAGCACTTTTCAGATATATTAAGATAGAATAACTTTATTTATGTTACAAAATGTAAATAAAAATAGTGTTTTGCACTTGCGCCGAAGCGATTTATGTGTTAAACTTGAGAATTTATCATTGACATTCAACTGATCAACCCGTTCATGTGACATTACAACAAATGTATTGATATGTATTTGAGAGTTCCCTTTTGCGCAAATTGTCTGTTTTTGCATTCAGAGTCTACATACTGAAATCAAAACCAACCGAGCTAGAAATGTAAAGATATGTTTTGAATGCAAATTAATGCTTCGGGCAGCCGTAACATAGCTGCGATAATATCACGAATTTTCTTTTTTTTCTTTTGGCCCAACACTAGGAAGGAAGAACAGTTAATAAGTCAAATATCATAATCCATTTTGGTCATTAACTTTGACCACTTTTCAAATCGTTTTTTTCCATTCTCTGTTCCTATCACCTTATAGTTACCGATAAACTTGATATTACCTTTGATTGTGTCTGCTACATCAAAAATGTCAGAGTGAAGATTTATTCCTCTTGTTGATTTGGTATTTTTCTTAATCTTTTTCACACTTATTCCCTTTAATCTCTCTAACAATGTTGTTTTTCCACTACTCGCACATCCTACAATCATCCCAGATGTGTGATACATCGTCGTCTCCCCTTTCTTTAAATTTTCAATGAAAACCTTCACTGAATTGTCTCCCCTCATTATGACCTGGAGTGGAATGCCAACTAAAAAGGGGGAAAAAAATATCTCTGCAAATTAAAAGTTTTCCATTGGACCAAAAATGTACACTAGAGAATTCTATGTCTAATGACATTTCTCTTTTAGGTTTTACATAAAACATAATTACATATTTCCTACAATGAAATTGAAAGAAGCAGCATGTTAAATGTGATTTAAGGAGGTTGGATCCTGTTATCAAAAGTAATTGAGAATTTTTTATCAAGTGTATTTTTAGAATCTACACACATAGCCTAATTAATAAGAGGTCCAAAGGCCTTAATGGTCACCTGAGTATAATACAACAATTTAGAGAATCCATAGAGTAAAAAATGAACTCAAAGGTGAACCTTTGTTGCCCAAAAGCAAGAAAAATAGGGTGTTCAGGATCAACAACATAATTAGTCTAGTATTCATTAACAGTTCATAAATTAGGTTCTTATCTCTTCCCCATTTATCACTCTCACCATACAGTATATCAACAAACTATCAGTGCTTCTGAACTATTTTAATTCCTTGTTGAAATCTCTTACATTGGCCTCTCTTGTTCTTTGATGAATATTTAATAAGACAAGTTGTTTTTGTCTCATTTTTATTTATCTATAACTTACAAGTCTACCTGATCATTAAAACTGTGAAAGTACTTTTTGTATTATACAATAAAAATTCTTGCATAATTCTCCTATTCTATTAACCTTTCAAGTACATTATTTACAGTGATTAATAATCAAAAGAATAACTCCTCTCAGTAGAATACAAATTAATAGAGCCCTGGCCCGGACCAGAACACTTGACCAAATGGTCTAGATGTTCAAACATCTGGTAAAAATACCCTTCCTTATTAAAACTTTTACTCTTTTTGCCTCTGATATACCCAGGTGCAGAGAAGATTTTTAAAGAAAAAATGCATTTTTACTACAGATTCAATATATTCACTATATCATCAATAGAGCCCCCCCCCCTCCCCATCGAGAAACACCAGAGACTCTTACCCGGGACCAGAAGTTTTCTCATCATAAGTAATCACTTTGTTTATCTGCTAAACACTAAGGATCAGACAGGATTATTTAATAGAATTGATGCATTTTCACTATATTATCAAGAGCCCCACCCTTACACCAGCACATCTGACCCAGGGGTCATGAAATTCACTACTCTGGAAGAAGCACTCTTGCTCATCATAACTATACACTTAGCTTCTTTGTTTTTTAACCAGAACATTTTCAAAGAAATTTAGCTTTTTCACTAAAATCAATAGAGCCCCCCCCCCTTTTTACCAGAACCCTTGACCCTGGGGCCATGAAATTCACAATTTTGGAAGAGGCATCCTTGCGTATCATAACAATGTACTTAGTTTGTTTAAATAATACCCAGGGGCAGAGAAGAAGATTTTCAAAGAAAAAATTCACCTTCACTATAGGATCTATATAGCCCCACCCTAGCACCAGAACCCCTGTCCCTAGGGCCATGAATTTCACAATTTTGGAAGAGGCATCCTTGCTTATCATAATTATGTACTTAGTTTGATTAAATAATACCCAGGAGCAGAGAAGATTTTTAAAGCATTAATGCATTTTCACTATATAATAAATAGAGACCGGCCCTAATATCAGAACCCCTGATCCAGGGGCCATGAAATTCACAATTCTGGAAGAGACATCCTTGATTATAATAAGAATGTATTTAATTTGATTCAATAATACCCAGGAGTAGAGAAGGAGATTTTCAAAGAAATAATGCACTTTCACTATATGATCTATAAAGCCCCGTCCTAGCACCGGAACCCTTGACCCTGAGGCCATAAATTTCACAACTTTGGTAGAGTCACCCTTGCTCATCATAACTATGTATTCAATTTGTTTCAATTATACCCAGGAGTAGAGAAGAAGATTTACAAAGAAATAATGCACTTTCACTATATGATCTATATAGTCCCACCCTAGTACCAGAACCCCTGACCCTGGGGCCATGAATTTAACAGTTTTGGTAGAGGGCTCAATGCTTATTACAATCATTCCAACAGTTTGACTGCTTGATGTCCAGGAGTAAAGAAGAAGATTTTTAAAGACTGCATTAATTTTGGTGGTTTTAGCCCTACCCCTCAGGCCCCAGGGGGGCAGGGACCATGAAATTCAAAGTTTTGTTCCCCTTCACACATAGATGCCATATGCTTAAATTGGCTGAAATTGGTTCAGCCGTTTCAGAGAAGAAGCTGAAAATGTTCAAATTTTAACACACGACGGACGACGCACGACGACGAACGAAAACAGATAGCAATAGGTCACCTGAGTGACTCAGGTGACCTAAAAATCAAAACAAACCAGAAATATGTCCATAGGACATGAATGCCCCGCCGAGGGTATATTATTTATGCAACATGAAAATTTGTATTAGTGTATAAAATTTGATGAGATATCTTGAATAGTTTCTTTAAAATTGAAATCTAAAAAGATGGATATAGATGATAAATTCTCGCCATATTATGTATAAGTGCATGAACTTACATAAATATATCTTATTATGGTTTCTTTAAAATTAAGCAAAATGCAATTTTAAGAAAAGTGAGGTCAAGGTCACAGGAAAGTTCAAGATCAAATGTTTTTGATGCAGTTGAATACTTCTCACAAATATGTATCAGCATATTTAAGTTTGATAAAAATATTTCGAATGGTTTATTTAAAACTGCGCTAAACACTAATTTAAAATAAATGAAGATAAGGTCAAAGGAAAGATCAAACTCAAAAAATGTTGATGGAGTTGAAAAGGTTACATCAGTATGTATTAGCATATGAAGTTTGATAAAAATATTATGAATGTTTTCTTTAAAACTGAGTTTAACACAAATTGAGAAAAGTGAATTCAAAGTCAAGGTCAAAAAATATTGATGCAGTTGAATAGCTTACATAAGTATGTATCAGCATATGAAGTTTGACACTAATTTAAGAAAAGTGAGGTCAAGGTCAAAGGAATGGTCAAGGTAAAAAAATGTTGATGCAGTTGAATAGCTCCCATCAGTATGTATTAATATATGAAGTTTGATAACACTGTATTGAATGGTATCTTTAAAACTGAGCTAAACACTAATTTAAGAAAAGTGAGGTCAAGGTCAAAGGAAAGGTCAAGGTAAAAAATATTGATGCAGTTGAAAAACTCTCATCAGTAATGTATCAGCATATGAAGTTTGATAAAAATTTCTTGAATGATTTCATTAAAAGTGAGCTAAACACTAATTTAAGACAAGAGGCCCATGGGCCACATCGCTCACCTGAGTAACTCTGGCCATGCTGTTCATTACCAGACTTCCCCCCTTGTAATACCTATTGACCTATTGTGGCCCCGCCCTATCCCCAGGGGCCATGATTTGAACAATTTAGAATCTACACTACCCCAGGATGCTTCCACATAAGTTTCAGTTTTTCTGGTCCAGTGGTTCTTCAGAAGATTTTTAAAGATTTTTCCTATATATTTCAATGTAAAAATTGGGATTCCCTATTGTGCCCCCCCCCCCCCCATCCCCGGGGTCATGATTTTAACAATTTAGAATCTACATTACCCCAGGATGCTTCCAGATAAGTTTCAGTTTTTCTGGCCCAGTCGTTCTTGAGAAGAAGATTTTTAAAGATTTTTCCTATATATTTCAATGTAAAACTTGTATTTCCTATTGTGGCCCCGCCCTACCCCCGGGGGTCATGATTTGAACAATTTAGAATCTACACTACCCCAGCATACTTCCACACAAGTTTCGGCTTTTCTGGCCCAGTGGTTCTTGAGAAGAAGATTTTTAAAGATTTTTCCTATATATTTCAATGTAAAACTTGGATTCCCTTTTGTGGCCCCGCCCTACCCCCGGGGGTCATGATTTGAACAATTTAGAATCTACATTACCCCAGGATGCTTCCACATAAGTTTCAGCTTTTCTGACCCAGTGGTTCTTGAGAAGAAGATTTTTAAAGATTTTTCCTATATATTTCAATGTAAAACTTGTATTTCCTATTGTGGCCCCGCCCTACCCCCGGGGGTCATGATTTTAACAATTTAGAATCTACATTACTCCAGGATGCTTCCAGATAAGTTTCAGTTTTTCTGGCCCAGTCGTTCTTGAGAAGAAGATTTTTAAATATTTTTCCTATATATTTCAATGTAAAACTTGTATTTCCTATTTTGGCCCCGCCCTACCCCCGGGGGTCATGATTTTAACAATTTAGAATCTACACTACCCCAGCATACTTCCACATAAATTTCAGCTTTTCTGGCCCAGTGGTTCTTGAGAAGATTTTTAAAGATTTTTCCTATATATTTCAATGTAAAACTTGGATTCCCTATTGTGGCCCCGCCCTACCCCCGGGGGTCATGATTTTAACAATTTAGAATCTACACTATCCCAGGATGCTTCCATATAAGTTTCAGCTTTTCTGTCCCAGTGATTCTTGAGAAGAAGATTTTTTTATGACCCCACCCTATTTTTGTCTTTTCTTGATTATCTCCCCTTTTAAGGGGACTTGACCCTTTATTTTAACAATTTAAACTCCCCTTCCCCCAAGGATACTTTGTACCAAGTTTGGTTAAAATTGGCCCAGTGGTTCTTGAGAAGAAGTTGAAAATGTGAAAAGTTTACAGACGGACGGACAGACGGACAGACGGACGGACGACGGACAACGGGTGATCAGAAAAGCTCACTTGAGCTTTCAGCTCAGGTGAGCTAAAAAGTGATGTCAATGTCAAAGGAATGGCCATGTCAAAAAATGTTGATGCAGTTGAATAGCTTATATCAGTATGTATCAACATATGAAGTTTGATTACACTATCTAAAATGGTATCTTTAAAACTGAGCTAAACACTAATTGATGAAAAGTGAGGTTAAGGTCAAATGAAAGGTCAAGGTCAAAAAATGTTGATGCAGTTGCATAGCTCTCATCAATATTTATCAGCATATGAAGTTTGATAAAAATATCACAGAGAGTTTCTTTGAAACTGAGCTTTGAACAGAGCTATACGCAAAGTGTGACAGAAAGACAGACGGAAGGAAGGAAGGATGGAAGGACGGAAGACGGACATGACAAACACTATTTGCCCCGGCCATATTCAAGGGCGGGGCATAAAAATGGAGGCCTATGCACTTCTTTTGGCTCCACGGAACATTTAATTAATTTGACCTCTTTGCACTGTAATTACATCTAACATATAAATCAATTTTTCAGTTTTTCCTTTAATATTTTTTATCTAAATAAATTATGGAAACAAACACAGTCTTTTTTCATCTTGAATAATCAAGTAAAATTTGTGACAACAAAAAAGTTTAAAATTACTTCACATAGTCAATTATTTGACCTTTCTGCACTCACAAAATGTCATTTTTCTGGCATTAAAAATTTAACAAGCAATAAAATCATTTGAAAGTAATGACATTTTTCTGGATTTAAGCAGAATGGTTAAAATTATACTTCAAAAGAGAAAATTTATCATTTTCTTCCACCACAAAATATATAGTTCTTCACTTAATGCTCAAAAACTCAAGAACGAACCTCTTTAAAAGACATTTTTCAATTCAAGGTCAGTACAATGAGCCATAAACACACCTGAATCACTTTGACCCTGTTGTTCTGCATCAGATATTTTCCAAATATCTATACATATATTTCTAAATGAAACTTTGATCGCCTTATGTGACCCCATTCAATACACAGGGCCTGTGATTTTAACAAAAATGAATATAGAACTAACAGAGGATGCTTCCACATTAATATGATTCATCATGGCTTTGCTGTTGCCCCCCCCCCCCCCCCCAGGTTTAGAAATTAGATTTTACTTTACCTAAGGAAGCTTTCACACAGTTTTTTTTTTCAAAATTTCTGACCCACTGATTCTTGAGAAGATTTTGAAATTTACCGGTAGATGTTTCCTATGTATTTCAATGTAAAACTGATTCCTCATGGTGGCCTCATCCTAACCATGGGGGCCATGATTTGAAAAACTTAGAACCAACACTACCTCAGTAAGCTTACATAAAAAAAATCAGATTTCAATGAAAAACTTTGATTTCCTATAGTGGCTCCACCCTGTATGAACATGTACCTTCAGGGGCCATGATTTGAACAAAGTAGAATCTACTCCACCTAAGGAAGCTTCCACATAAGTTTTAGATTTTCTGGCCCAGTGGATCTCTTAAGAAGATTTTTGAATGACCCAACCCCCTTGCCTTTTTTCCATTATCTCCCCTTTGACAGGGGCTAGGTCCTTCATTTGTAAAGTTTAGTATTCCTTTTACCCAAGAATGTTTTTTGCCAACTTTGGTTAAAATTTGCTCAGTGATTCTTGAGATGAAGTTGAAATTATAAAAATTTTACAGACCGACGGACAGACGAACATCGGACAACAGCTGATCAGAAAAGCTCACTTGAGCTTTCAGCTCAGGTGAGCTAATAAAGATTGCCCCCTCCCCTTGTTTTATACGTCATATGATTGACGACATCATGATCTATATGGTTTAATGCAAGTCTAGTTGAAAAATTTTTTTACGTCACCATTGAAAAGTAACGTGGAATAGGTTCTGTAAAAATGCTTTATTTTTTAAGATGATTCTTGCTTACTGCATGTAATATGACATCTTCATCCTTATGTGTAAGTTTGGTGGTTCTTGAGAAGATCTTTAGCAACCTCTACTTCTGTTTCTATTCCCTAATTATGTCCCCTTGTTTAAAGGTCACATTCCTATTTTTTGTACTTATGAAACCCTTTGGACCAAGGATACTCTATGACAAAATTGACAAAATTAACCACGGTTCTTAAGATATGGCCCATATTCCAAAAAAGTTTATACACTCTGCACAAATGACCATAGTATTAGGTAGAAATAGAGTACTGTAAGGAAACATACGGTTGCTAAATACAGCTTCATAAATCGATGTGTCCTGCCATGTTGGGTGAGTAAAAATATCCTCTCCAAGTTTTTCTATTAACTGTTCTGTTTGTTTTGGCAATAACCAGCAAAAGACTTCGTTTTCTTTCTTTGGATAAGCCCAGGATCTACAGTACTCAGCTACGTTTTCTTTTTCTGCCAAAGTCAGAAATATATCTACAAATTTTGGATCTTTTGCAAATCGAAGGAAACTGGTGTGTTTGAAGAATTCACTAGAAAACATAATTTCAAAACGTTTCTGTTCCAGTATTGGTCTGTATTCATTCAAATTCCCAAGACTGGATTCCTTTTTAATCTTCTTGAACTTGAAAACTTTAGCAACAGCATTATACGTCTTCATCCATTGTTCTTCATTCAGATTTATTTTGTATAAATGACAAAGTAGAAGGCACATCAGAACTGCATCTCCATCTACAAATAAAGGAACACATGTGTGCATTCACTTTTCATAATATAAAAGAAAATGCAGGTACATGTACTGCTTGCCAGGTCCAAAATTAACTTAAAGTACTGTGAGCAAGCAAACTATGTTAATGTCTAAGGTTTGATGCAAACGAGAATTGAACCCGGTACCTCTGGATCACCAACTGATTATGTAGAATTTTTTTAATTTGCTTCTAAAGAAGTTACTTCTCTGATAATTTACCACTGTAAATAAGTAAATAATAGGTCACTCAAATACAGGAAATTATATGATGCAATAATTTTTATGTAGTATATTTTGTTTGATTAATAATTATATTAAAGATTTCAAATGTATTGGAAGTAAAGGGGTAAAATTCAAAATGTGTCCATGAGTTCAATAACATTCTAATACAGAACACTGGAAACTTATGCTTCACACAAAAATTACTTCTGACTTTAGGTTTATCATGACCTTGACCCGAGGTGACTAACTAACAGTGGGAGTGTGAAATATTTTCTTTTTTTCATAGGTATACCTTTGATGCAACAATTTGACAAAAAATGCAGCCTTGCAAGAGTGACTGTTCCTTTGGCAATCACAGGCATTAGAAGTGAATGTTATGGGTCTTTCGGATATATATGACCTTACCTAAAAATGAAGGTTGCATGTCACAGTTGACATGGGCATGATGACGAACCCTCACTGCTCAATGGCCAAAAGTGCCAAGCACAGGTCTAAATTTTAAGCCCTTCTCTGGTATATGGTGAGGGCTCTGTATGAGTGAAAAATTCTCCAAAGGGACGTTAAACAACATACAATCAATCGATCGAATCCTGCCCTAACTGCTCTAGTCAAGCAATCAATAATTTCACAAATCTGGTAAGAACATCCATGCTCATCAAAAGTTTTTTTTTACATGACTTGGTTTACCAGCTACATGCACAAGAGCAGACAAGTTTTTAAAGAAATAAGGCATTTTCACAATATGAACAATAGGCACACAGCCCCTCCCTTACACGAGTGTCCCTGAATCAAGTGTAATTAATTTCACAATTTAAGTAGAGTTACCTTTGCGTTCATTATAACCATGCACTTTGTTGTCTTTTAATATAGTATACGATTGTCAAATAATTAATGCATTTTCACTATATAATCATTAGAGCCCCGCCCTAAAACCAGAACCCCTGACCCAGGGGCCATGAAATTCACAATTTTGGAAGAGGCATCCTTCCTCCTCATAAATATGCATTTACTTTGTTTCTTTAATAGAACCTCTGACCTTGGGGCCATGAATTTCACAATTTTGGTAAAGGGCTCCATGTTCATTACAATCCTGCCAATAGTTTGACTGCTTAATGTCCAGTAGTAAAGAACAAGATTTTTAAAGATTGCATTAATTTTGATGGTTTAAGTCCCACCCCTCAGGCCCCGGGGGGACTGGGGCCATGAATTTCACAATATTTGCCCCCCTTTACCCATAGATGCTATATGCCAAAATTGGTTGAAATTGGTTCAGTGGTTTCAGAGAAGAAGCTGAAAATGTTCAAAGGTTTACGAACGACGACGGACGAAAACAGATAATATGTCACCTGAGGACTCAGGTGACCTAAAAATCTTACATATTGATACAAACCTTTTCTCTTGTGAATTTCATTGAGCAGCATCTCTACATCTCTAATATCATGTCTTCTATGATCAGTAGAAGTGACACATATCTCACACAAGGGAACCTCACACTGGATACAGAACTGGGATAATTCACTTTTGGGATGTCTGTTACATGTCACTTTTTCCTGAGATAGGCCTGTTCAGACAAAAGAGAAAAACAATTTTAATCTTCAAATAAAAGTACAAGTTATAAAAGGTTTTATTAAATTCAGAAAATTTGAATTCAACATTTTTTTCCTAGTATGTACATTCATTATTTTCTTTCAAAATGTTTTTGATAAAGCCATCTTCAGAAAGGGTTGATTTACATTATGCATCCTAAATGACACCCTTTTTTCATGATAACAGTTAAACATGAAGTTTCAAATTCTGATCACTCCAGCAGAAAATTCTTCCATTTCTTAATTGCTATGTTCTAAATACATTTCTAATGATTCTTCTATTGCTTTGGATGCTTCTTCACATCATCCTGATAACAGCTAATTGGTGAATGACGGTCATAGTACAGCCAAACCATTTCAACACTCTGTTTCTTAGACAAAGACATCAAAATTTCAAGTGTTTTTATGAGGTAAAATATGACATCACTAAATTTTCAAAAATCCTGATTTTATAAATATCTTCCTATATAAAATAAATGGGAAAGCTTACATATCAATATCATGAATTGTGGCCACTAATACTCTTATGAAGATTTTTAGAGAAAATTCCTTTATATCTGACCCCTTCTGTGGCCCCAACCTACTCTCAAGGTCAATGTTTTGTACAAGATTGAATTAACACTTTACAAACAAGCATTTGTCCAAGTCCAATAGTTCTTGGAAAGAAAATTTTAAGATATTGCCAATTGTTTTAAATGATGTCATTAAATTTTAACCTATTTTTAATTCCTCCCCTTGATTGAACATATCTGATTTTTTTTTACCCAAGGATGCTGAAAGAAAAGTTTTAGTTTAAAATACTCGATCTACCAACCAACCAACATTTCGACCCACAGATGATAAGAACGTGTCTTCCGCCCCCCCAGGGGAGGGTATTATGTAAAATGCCACACTAACGACGATAATGAAGAGTCAATGGAACATTTTGAACAGAAAAGCTCTCTTCAGTCCTCAGCTCAGGTGAGCTAAAACCCGAAACAAGAAACCAGGAATAGAACATAAATGTTGAAAGAGTATTCACTAATGATTCAAAGACACTCTTATTTTTAAAAACAAGAGGCCCAGGGGCCACATGGCTGACCTGACTTTGGCTGGGAAAGAGCAGAAATCAGTTCAGTATTGAAAAGTTTAAATATAAAAGTGGGGGGGGGGTTATGAGTTGAACACTTTAATCTACACTTCCTATGGATGCTTTTGAATTAATATGACAGATAATGGCTTTGCTGTTCTTAAGATGAAAATTTTTATTGACATATCTTTTATATACCTTTATATAACTATCCCCTGTTATGGCCCCTCTATTCTTCTGGGGGGTCATGATTTGAACAAATTTAAATATACATTACCTGAGGATGCTTTTTATAATATTATGACCAATCATGGCTTGCTGTTCTTGTGAAGAATTTTAAAGATTTTTCCTATCTATTCCTATGTAAAACGTTGATCACCCATTGTGGTCCCACCCTACCCCCTGGGGTCAAGATTTGAAGAAACTTGAATCTACACTACCTTAGGATGCTTCCATATAAATATATCTAATCATGGCTTTGCTGTTCTTGAGAAGAAGATTTTTAAAGATTTTTTCCTATGTATTCCTACGTAAAACTTTGATCACTCACTGTGGCCCCATCCTACCCCTGGGAGTCATGATTTGAACAAGAGGCCCATGGGCCACATCGCTCACCTGAGCACATTGGCTAGGCAAAAGCACAAATCAGTTCAGTATTGAAAAGATTACCACGGGGGGGGGGGGGGGGGGGGGGGGGGGGGGGGGGGGGGGGGGGCTTGAATTTTAAACTACCTGATGATGCTTCCATGTCAATATAACAAATGGCTTTCTTGTACTTGAGAAGATGTTCAAAAAAACTTCCCATATATTCTTTTGTAAAAATTTGATCCCCCATTGTGGCTCCTCCCTATCCCAGGGGTCATCATTTGAACGAATCTGAATCTACACTACCTGAGGATGCTTCCAAGATATTATCCTGTATATTTCTATTTAAGACTTTGATCCTCCATTGTGGCCCCACCCTACCCCCGGGGGTAATGATTTGAACAAACTTGAATCTACACTACCTGAGGATGCTTCCATATAAATATGACTCAACATGTCTTTGCTGTTCTTGAGAAGAAGATTTTTAAAGGTTTTTCCTATATATTTCTATGTATAACTTTGATCCTCCATTGTGGCCCCGCCCTACCCCTGGGGGTCATAATTTGAACAAACTTGAATCTACACTACCTGAGGATGCTTCCACATGAGTTTCATCTTTCCTGGCCCTGTGGTTCTTGAGAAGAAGATTTTTAAAAGATGCTATTAATTTTTCACTAATTCTTTATTATCTCCCCTTGAAAAAGGGCGTGGCCCTTCATTTTAACAAATTTGAATCCCCTTCACCCAAGGATACTTGTGGCAAGTTTGGTTGAAATTGGCCCAGTGGTTCTTGAGAAGAAGTCGAAAATGTTAAAAGTTTACAGACAGACAAACAGACAGACAGACAGACGGACAGACAGACAGATGGACACCGGACAAAAAGTGATCAGAAAAGCTCACTTGAGCCTTCGGCTCAGGTGAGCTAAAAAACTTGAATCTACACTACCTGAGGATGCTTCCATATAAATATAAACACAGCTTTGCTGTTCTTGAGAAGAAGAAAATTTTTAAAGATTTTTCCTATGTGTTCCTATGTAAAGCTTTGATCACCTATTGTGGCCCCACCCTACCCCCAGGGCTCATAATTTGAACAAAATTGAATCTACACTACCTGAGGATGCTTCCATATAAATATGAGCAATCATGGCTTTGCTATTCTTGAGAGGAAGATTTTTTAAAGATTTTCCCATGTATTCCTATGTTAAACTTTGATCACCCATTGTGGTCCCACCCTACACCAGGGGGTTATGATATGAACAAACTTGAATCTACACTACCTGAGGATGCTGCCATATAAATATGACCAATCATGGATTTGCTGTTCTTGAGGAGAAGATTTTTAAAGATTTTTCTTATGTATTCCTATGTAAAACTTTGAAACTTTTATAAGTTGTTAAATATGCTACAGGTGTTTATTATTTATGTGAAGTGTTGATTTCCCATTGTGGCCCCACCCTTCCCCCGGGGGTCAGGATTTGAACAAATTTGAATCTACACTACCTCACAATGATTCCACATAAGATTCATGTTTTCAAGCACAGTGGTTCTTGAGAAGAAGATTTTTAATGATGCCATAAATTTTTCACGAAATCATAATTATCTCCCCTTGGAAGAATGCGTGGCCCTTCATTTGAAGAAACTTGAATCTCCTTTACCCAAGGATACTTTGTGGCAAGTTTGGTTGAAATTGGCCCAGTGGTTCTTGAGAAGAAGATGAAAATGTGAGAAGTTTACAACGACGACAACAGACAATGAACAAATTTCGATCAGAAAAGCTCACTTGAGCCTTCAGCTCAGTTGAGCTCATAAGCTATTTCTCAGAAAGAAATATTACTAAACAGTCTAATGTAAATCTTTAACCCCATACCTTTCCTATCACAGACCCTATAATGGGACCATTCTTAATCTATAATATGGCTCCATCCCTAACCTATAATGGCAAAATCCTTACCCTTCCTAGAAGCAATGTTTTGACCAAATATGAATCTACACTACGTGTGATTCTACATGGGAATGCATGCACATTAGATATATTATAACTCTGCTATACTTTATTAATTAATTTCTTTCAGCATATTTTGATTAAATTCCCTTACTCTCTTCTGGACCCTGCCCTTAACATCAGGGGCAAAATGGTTACACATACATGTTTAACTACACTTCATTAGGACACAGTGCCAGTTGTCCTTCATTTTTACCATATTATTGAGCCTTACTTTGTAAGTTTCCTTCATCTTACAAATTACTGATAATTCAGTTTTGATCTGATTCAAGTGCACAAATATTGCAACATAAGATGATAAAACATCTACAAACATCACATTAAGTCAGTTAACAATGTATGTAATATACATGTACAATAACACAGAAAACCAAGTAGATGTCCCCACACCTGCTACAGAAATACACAACATTCCTATAGGAAGAGCTGCATTTATATCAAAATGTAAACATACAAACAAACTGTCATCTGTTCTGTAGAATATACTGTAGTCATTGAATTCAATAAAGAAACACACAAGATTCCAAACTCCTAAGCAGAGCAATATATATCAAACCAACAAGACAGTTTTAAAATGTGTGTCATCTTACCCATGAAGTAGTGAAGTTGTCGACTCACATAATATGAAACCATACCAAATACTGATTACATACTACTCAACAGTACAGCAATGCCCATTCTCACTGCTACCCCCTCCCACAAACTTACCAAATGTAGCCCCTACCATTTCCTCACATTTGTAGAAATTAAACCAATAGGTTTCACCCTCTATGGTAGTGTGACATTTCATTCCAGACAGATTTAGGAAAAACATGGAGTACTTTATCAACAAATTATTAGACAGCCAAAATAGAACTTTATACATTGTACATATGAAACACTAAGTATGATGAATCTGCCCTATAAAGTTTGATGTGCAGCAAATAAGATTGTCAAAGACAACAAAGTAAATAACAAAATGTTCCTGAACCATGTACATAATGTATACATTGAAACAAATTTAAAAAAAAAACAAACTATTACCATATCATCTTATTTTAAACAAGTTTGACAGCATTCATTCTATACAAATTCTGGTAAATAAATTTAATAAAGACAGCAAATTATAATCAAATAAAATGTAATTACAATAAAAAATATGGGTATAAAAAGCTTAGTTATGATCTGTAATCTCTTGTAAAACAATTCTTACTATATGATTTGTAACTACACTTAAAAGAATTCACTAAAATTATTCTTTAATGACTTCCCCGATAAAAACTATTTGTAGTTTTTTATATTATACACATCTAATATTGTTAAACAAAACACATAAATCTACTACATTATTACTTACCAGTCAGAGAGTCTCTGTCTACCACTCTGTATATGTTGACTGTGTTGTTGTACCGTGACCCTACCCACAGTAGGTGTGTGTTATCATCATAACTCAGGCCCCGTGGTGTGTCTATCCCGTGTGGTGATGTCTGTATCTGTGACAGGAAGTGACCGTCCCTGTCTAACATCTGTACTGACTGGGTGTTATAATCACACACCAGGATGTGTGACAGCGCGTCAGTACAGATTCCATGTGGCAATAGTCCTGATCCTGATGGGTGTCCTGTGTAGGAGAAGCGATGACTTCCACCACGATCTGTCACCACTACACGGTCCAAGTCAGACACAATAACATCTCCATTGCGGTTCTCTGTGATGTAGATAGGTTCTCTATACAGTCCCTGACCTGTGTTGTTGTTGTACTGTATGGTCTGGATGTGTTCTCCTGTGGAGTTATACCGCACTAACTTGCCTGTATCTGTATCAGTGTTATACATCGCGACCAGCAGGTCTCCAGTGGAGGGGGAGCTGTAGACACTCAGTGGTTCCCATGGTGCTGTGTTGTACTTTATTAATGGAGTCTTTACTGTGTTCTCTATAGACAGTTTGTTGATGTTATACTCACTGTCTATATAAATTAAATCACCGTCATTGTTCACAGTGTGTCCTCCCCATATACTACGTATATCTGTCAGATGATGTAGTTTATCCCCTGCTGTGTTTGACAAGATGAGATTGTCTATATCACTGATCCAGACCCGGTCTGAGGATACACGGGTAATGTGACATACACGACTAACACCTGTCACTGTGACAGATTTCTGTAACACAAATCTATACATCATTGACAGCAGACATTTATTTCATCTTTATCCTGTGGTTTTATAACAGAATCCCGTGTTGATTTCCTCAGTCAGGCAGATCTCTCTGTAAATTACAACATTGTACTAGAATTATCTACATCAGTTATAGGTCTACATTTAAAAAAAGAATATAATGTTTTAGATCAATGATTTTTCACTTAATTAATATAATTAAATGTAAATCATTAACACCCCTTACACTTAATAAAACATGTCAAGTTAATTTACATGACTCGATCTCTAAACATGTTTTATCAATAAACTGTCTCTCTTTACAGTTACGATCAGGTTATGTAATACTTTATATTTTGTATATTAAGTATCTAGATCTATAAGTAGTGTCTCTTTACACTGTAGACAAATATCATATATATTGACATGTACACATGTGTTGAATCCTTACACTGTGTCTGCAGTGATCAAGATGATGTGGACGTCTTTGTTTATGGACTGGAAGCTACAAAAAAAACGACAAAATCACATCTTCATGTAAACCTTAGAACACTAGGACAAAAATGATTCACAATTAATGTGTCAAGTTCATTTACATACGACTTTCTTTAAATTTTGTATCAATAACTTGTCTATCTTTACAGTTAAAATAACTTTAAAGATCAGTGCTTCACACTTTGTATTATAGTATCTAGATCTATAACTCATGTCTCTCTACACTGTAGACAAACCTCATATACATGTATTTGCATGTACACGTGTTGAATCCTTACACTGTTTCTGTGATGTGATCAGGCGATATGGACAGGTACACATTTGTTGAATCCTTACACTGTTTCTGTGATGTGATCAGGCGATGTGGACGGGTACACATTTGTTGAATCCTTACACTGTGTCTGTGATGTGATCAGGCGATGTGGACAGGTACACATTTGTTGAATCTACACTGTGTCTGAGATCAAGGTCACACTGACGTCTCTGTTTATGGACTGGAAGCTACAGAAAAAATGACAATATCACAACATCTTCATGTGAACTTTAGAACATTATATCAAAAATTATTTGACCTCATAACAAACTACATGTCATATATGTACAAGTATTCTAAAATTGTCCTGTTTAAATCAATACTTTCAAATACTGGCAATCAAATTAAATTGTATCAATTTTAAATTAGTCATGATTACTTGATAAAAGTACAACATAATTAGAATTAAATTATAACTTGACTCGATTCATTGACACAGCAAACTCTAAATAATATGTATTCTACATTCTCTTTTGACATATTACATAAAGTAACAGAGCATAGTTAAAATATAGAGATTTTCTTTGGTTATGTACAGCACAGTTACATAAAGTAACAAAGAAATAATTATATATACCACAGTGATTCCTTTCCTTTAGTTATGTACAATACACCCTGGGTCTGTGTCAATGGGAGACTTTCTGTGAAAAACAAAAATGATATTATTTAACTTTAACTTATTCAACTTTCTACAATTCAGATAATTTAACAAGTACAAGGTTACTACCAAATTGCATTAATATTTCCTTGTGATATTTTTTCCTAGCTGTTCTGTGATGTATTTATATCAATCTTGCTCACTCAGTGAGCACACACCATATTATATTTTATATTAATTAAGTGTCAAACTCTAGATAACTACTTAGAGATAGGTAATTTACAGCCTGTTTTGACACAGTTATATAGTGACAAAGAAATGTATACCAGCCTGATTTCATGTATCTGGTAACAATTAACTGCACGTAGGTTTCTGATTTCCTCTGGTCACATTTCCAATATATCTTTACATTCTCTTCCTGTGTCCTGGGTTAAAAAGAAATGACATTAAGCCAAAAAAAATAATAATCTTTAGTTTCTCAGGCCAAAAATTTTAAAAACTCAATCCAGCATGCCTTTTTTTAAGCATGTGATATCTCTTCTTCATAGCAGTCAACAAACTGATGATCTTAATCAATTCTTACTTGTTTTGTTCTCTTATATTTATTATAGTATGCAGTACTCAACTTTATATAATGATTTTCCAAACATTTTTGTAAGAAGTTAAATGATAAAGTACCCATTAAACAAGAAATATATTGTGTATCTAAGAAAAACGTCTTCAAGTTAGCATGTATGAAAAGGGGCATAACTCAATTTTCTTTTTCAACTTAGAAAAAAAGAAAATTTAGTTATTTCCCTTTGTCAATATGTCAATAAAATTGATCAGTCAGTGCTTGACCAGATGCGGCGGTGCCTGAGAAATTACATTAATTTTTTAGCCTAATATTTTTCAATATTAAATAAATTATACAGATTCAATTTATTTTATCAATGATTTTACTCAAATCATATAAGTCATCTTTGAAGGTTTGAATTTGATAACTGTTTCCAGATTATATGTATTGTTTAACATTCTAATTGTATGCATGATCAATACTTCATATGATTCCAACCTCTATTAAAGGAAAGTAAGAAACCTGAACAATGGTGATAGTCCTCTTTTTGTAGATTTATACAGCATGTCCCTGGGAACCTGTAAAGAAATATAAAAAAAAAACATGAACTCATCTATAAAGTCCCATACAACTTCCGTTTTTTTGTTTTGTTTTGTTTTGTTTTGTTTTTTTTTACAAAAAGGGAACATAAACTCAGTATTGTAATTTTATTGTTGTAAGTAAATATTTTTACAATACATACACCCATTCGGTTGTTGAATTGTTTTACTATAATTATTAAATGTTTGTCTTATATTTACTGGGATGTCACATGCTCTTGCATTTGTTAAACCATGTAAATACATGACATCTAGAATTTCATTTTTGTCATGGTTGATGCTATGATGGTTGAAGTACGTTAAAGGTTGACAAACACGTGAAGGCCACATAGTGCACGTAATTTATTTGTAATTTACAACAGAAATTCAATGTTTAATCATCTTTCATTTTGAGATGGTTTTTATTTAGTCTATTATAGCAATTATCTATAATGATACACCTTTTCTCATAGTACATGTGTTTGTTACTATTCACCACACAGAACACGCGGTCTTACCTATCAAGTGTGTAATTATGGCTCATTGTTATCGGGGGAAATATAAAGGTAATATGACCTTTTATATCCAAGAACAGGTCTCGGATGGCGATGGGAGAGTTTGGCTTTACAGCAGGTTTTTAAGAGGGCTGGGTGGTTGTGGCCATTTTCAGATTATATTGATCTCCTTTAGAAGAAGAGCTCCATATAAAGATATACAAAAATGATCAAATTTTAAAACTAAAATGTATGAAATTTTTGTTTGCCAAATGATAGTTGACAGCTTAAGATATCATATCTAAAAAATTAAGTTATATCTGATGGTTAATTTTTTGACCCCCCAGCCTCCTTAAGGGTGTATATAGAAAAATCTGTTCTACACATTCCTATGGCTGTATGTGGGGGTGGTGATATACCGAAGTGACAGTGTATATCATAAGTGGTCCCAACACACCCTCAGGGGGCATGATTTAAACAAATTTGAATCTACACTTATTTCGGATGCTTCCATATATCTTTGACTAATCAGGGCTTTATATGATTTCTAAAGTTTTTTTTCCAGTATATTTCTAAGTTTCATCTTCTATTGTGGCCTCGCCCTAATCTGAGGGACATACAGGTGACTCTGGATGGCTCAAACTCTAAACTCTAGTTCTTGACCTCTTGAAGTAAAACCCTGGTCTCGTTTTTTCCCTATATATAACTAAGCAAATTTACTCCTGATCTCTTTCAGTTCTCTATCTCTAGAACCAAGACCTGGGTCTCGTTACACAGATTTCATTGTTTTTTACTCTTGATCTCTCAAAGTGTTGATTGTGCATGTACACCAATCAAGCATGTAACTAATTCAGCTAGGACTTACCTGAACAAGAGGCCCATGGGCCACATCGCTCATCTGAGCACATTGGCTAGGAAAAAGCACAAATCACTTCAGTATTGAAAAGTTTAAAGGGGAGGGGGCTTGGATTTTGAACTACCTGAGGATGCTTCCATATCAATATAACAAATGGCTTTACTGTTCTTGAGCAGAAGATTTTTAAAGATTTTTTTCCTATATATACCCTTGTTAAAAATTTGATCCCCCATTGTGGACCCTTTCTACCCCCCCCCCCCCCCATTATTTGAACAAATTTGAATCTACACTACCTGAGGATGCTTCCATATCAATATGACTAAACATAGCTTTTCTGTTGATGAAAAGATTTTTTCCTATATATTCCTATGTAAAAATTTGATCCCACATTGTGGCTCCACCCTACCCCTGGGGTTTATGATTTGAACAAACTTGAATCTACACTACCTGAAGATGCTTCCATATCAATATGACAAAACATGGCATTGCTATTCCTGAGAAGAAGATTTTTCAAGTTTTTTTCCCTATATATTCCTATGTAAAACTATGATCCCCCATTGTGGCCCCACCCTACCCCCAGGGGTCATGATTTGAACAAACTTGAATCTACACTACCTGAGGAAGCTTCCATATCAATATGACAAAACATGGCTTTGCTGTTCCTGAGAAGAAGATTTTTTAAGTTTTTTCCCCTACATATTCTTATGTAAAACTATGATCCCCTATTGTGGCCCCACCCTACCCCCAGGGGTCAAGATTTGAAGAAACTTGAATCTACACTACCTTAGGATGCTTCCATATAAATATATCTAATCACGGCTTTGCTGTTCTTGAGAAGAAGATTTTTGAAGTTTTTTCCTATGTATTCCTATGTAAAACTTTGATCCTCAATTGTGGCACCACCCTAACCCTGGGGGTCATGATTTGAACAAAGTTAAATCTACACTATCTGAGAATGCTTCCATATCAATATGACTTAACAAGGCTTTGCTGTGCTAGAGAAGAAGATTTTTCAAGTTTTTTTTCTGTATATTCCTATGTAAAACTTTGATCGCCCCTTGTGGCCCCACCCTACCCCGAGGGGTCATGATTTGATACAAACTTGAATCTTCACTACCTGAGGATGAATCCACATCAATATGACTAATTGTGACTTTGTTGTTCTTGAGCAGAAGATTTTTCAAGATTTTTTTCTACATATTTCTATGTAAAATTTTGATCCCCCATTGTGGCCCCACCCTACCCCTGGGGGTCATGATTTGTACAAAATTTAATCTACACTACCTGAGAATGATTCCATATCAATATGACTAATTGTGGCTTTGTTGTTCTTGAGAGAAAGATTTTTAAAGATTTTTTTTCTATCAATTCCTATGTAAAATTTTGATCCCCATTGTGGCCCCTCCCTACCCCTGGGGGTCATGATTTGAACAAATTTGAATCTACACTCTCTGAGGATGATTCCATATCAATATGACTAATTGTGGCTTTGTTGTTCTTGAGAAGAAGATTTTTCAAGTTTTCCCCCCTATATATTCCTACGTAAAACTATGATCCCCCATTGTGGCCCCACCCTACCCCTGGGGGTCATGATTTGTA